TTATATATAGGAGTGGATGTTTTGAAACATCCACTCTTATCATTTGTCAATGTCCTTCCATTATACACAGAATGAGGAAAGTCATGTAGGAGTGGATGTTTCAAAACTTGAGACGAACTGATTCTCTTATTGTGTGTTTCATGGGTATCTTAAGAAAGCAATAAGTCATGAGTACGGGGAACTCTTACCGACGTTGACGTGGCAGTAAATGATTGGATTGTTTTTTTTTTCTCTCTTTCCATCTTTCAATCAATTCCCGCCATGTGTTATGTGTCAAATTTTTTTATACTTGTAGCGTGATTGAACCTAAAATCGTTTCATGTAGAGTCTAATATTGCATTTCAAATGTGTATTCAATGTTTACATTCACGAAGGAAAGCAAAGAAACTTGACATTAAAGAGAAGTAAAGACAAAAAGAAAGGGAAAATATGAGTTTTTCTTATTTGAAATTTAAAAAAAAAAAAAAGAATAAAAAGAAAAGATTCCCTATGTCTCCAACCAACACAGAACTTGCAGCAATTCCTTCTCCAACCATAAAGCATGTTATGAACAATGATATGTATATATACCATCTGATTCTATAGTACAACAGATCATTTGTTTCACAGCTTTTGCTTTCAGTTTGTAGCAGGACAATACATGTAAGGATTGTTTGTCCAGCAACAAGAATGAATGAACTCAGCAAAGAATATTTGTCCCCAAAGTCTCTGGTGAGTAAAGATTTTGTAAATCAGAATAAGAAGAGAAAAATAGGTCAAAGAAATCTGAAAAGATTATTCCAGAGAATGAAATTACTTTATCCAGAACATGTCAAGACATGCACAAAGTGAACACCACAAGTTTTACCTTACATAGCATGTGAAAAACGGTTGATTACATTCAAGCTAATATGTATGAAATGGATTTTAAAATAAAAAAAAGACCGAGTTAACAAAGCAACAGATGCACAGCAATATTTTTCTATAACAAAAGATTCCGGTCTCACCAAACAAGATTGGTCTGCTCTCAATAGGGTTGTCGTCTGTGTTAAGGTTTCAAAAAACAATGAACAGCAAATTACTCATTGACAGACAGAAACTTAAATTACTGGCAAGCATATTTGCAAAGTTATAAATGGAAAGGTTTGCTAGCATTACAAGAAACCTTGTTATGTTTACACCAATATGTTATTCACAGACAAATCGACTGTAATAAATATTAACAGAGCTCAATGGCATTGCAAACCATCAAGATGCGCTACTATGTAATATCGGAGAATTCAACTAGACAAATGCTTCAAATGACTTGTACGAAAGGCATAATGTGCACCTCTTCTCAAGTTGATGCTGATTTCAGAACGAGATTAGCAAAATTTATCCACAAATTAAGATGCCACATAACCTAAGTTGAAGAAACTTGGCAGTAGTGAATGAAGTTCGAGGGAGAATTTACACAACATAACACAAAATTCATCTATCACTGTAGCTCAGATTATTCTCTTAGTAAGATGTCCACAAACAACTCATTACCTTTTTTTCTAGCCATCATATAAGAAAATAATATCAACAATGATCTAACTTTATTTGTATTTTGTTTTTAACCTCTCTTAACTTAATATTTACTCTGTTTTTTACAACTTCACAGCATAGCTTCACCTCCATCTGAAATTATTGTGACAGCAATGAAGAATGAGATTGTTAACTCGACAACTTCACACAGCTAGATTTAACTTCTTTTAACAACTTTGCACCAAAGTCTTCACAGCTATCGGTATTATTATATTAATAATAAAGAAAATCAACGCCACGGTTACACTAAAAGATGAAGAGCTTCAAGAATGCATAATCTCCACAATATGGATATCAAATGCCAAAACCAACACCACAAAATGTCAGAGCTCTAAAACTCTGAGCAGAGAAATAATAATAAGAGACAAACCTAAAAAACTTGCATTCTAAAAATTTTTCCCAAAACCTGAAATGATTATTGGCGTGTCCTGCGTTGGATATGAAAGTAAACTAATGCAATTGTTTGAGGAGTTGGAGGCTGGTAGGGGGCAGGGGATGAGTACACAAGGAGGCAAAGCTAGAAGGAAGGGCGTCGCGAGCTTAAGCGACTCGAATGGTTAGTAAATTACGTTGCTAAGGGTAGCGAGGGAAGGAAAGTTTTGCTAGGGAGGGATGACGCAGCGTTAAAATGACTCCAAAACTTATTAGCTGGAATGTGAGGAGGCTTAACGAGACTGGGAAAAGGTTAGGTATTCGAAAACAAACAACTCATTACCTTTTTTTCTGGCCTCTCCCCGGAGCCATTATCTTACGTACTGTCCGCTCTGGGGTGTGCTTCTGCCCACTTATCCCCTCACGGCTTTCTGACGCGTCCCCTAAGATTCGAATCCAAGATCTCCATCATATAGGAGACTAAACCCCCAAGATTTGAACCCAAGACCTCCATCATATGGGAGACTTAAGTTGTTCATATGATTGAGGTCTTGGATTTGAATCCTGAGGGACGCGTCAGAAAGCCGTAAGGGGATAAGTGGGCAAAAGCCCACCCCAGAGCGGACAGTACGTAAGATAACGGCTTCGGGGAGAGGCCGGGTCGTTACAAAAAAACGCGCATTTTTTGTAATGTTTGTAACGACCCGACCTTGCGCCGGAATCGTTATCGTTATCTTACATACTGTCCGATTCGGGAGAGTCTAGGCCCATCTTACCCCTCACGGCTTTCTGGCGCGTGTCCAGGATTCGAACCCAAGACCTCCATCATATGGGAGACTTAAGTTGAATCCTGGTACCAATTGGGCAACGCGTCAAAAAGCTGTGAGGGGTAAGATGGGCATAAACTCTCCCGAAACGAACAGTACGTAAGATAACGATTCCGGCACGAGGTCGGGTCGTTACAACTCAGATGTTACTCAGAGGAAATTGGGGGGGTGTACTCTGACCATTTTCCTATTTTGTTATCTGGGAATACTAGAGGTAATGGAGTAAGGCCTTTTATGTTTGAGAAGATGTGGTTAAAAAAGGCTTTGGGGAGCGAGGACGGAATTGGTGTGCTTTCTATGATTTTCGGAGGTCCCCCAGTTATGTGTTGGATCATAAGTTGGAGGCGTTAAAAACAGATTTAATGAGGTAGAATGAAGAGGTGGTGGACAATGTGAACTTAAAGTTCAGTGCCTTTCAGACATTGAGGAGCTGGATAAATTAGAGGAAATGCGAGGGTTGGATGGGGATGAGAATGAGAGACGTTGAGTATTAAGGGAAGAACTAGTGAGTTTGGTGGATATGGAAAAGATTGCTTGGCGCCAGAAATCTAGGGTTACGTGGTTGAAAGAGGGAGACAAATGTGCTAAGTTTTTCCATAGGGTCGCCATTCTAACATGCGGAATAATTATGTCACAGTGTTGGAAGTAGAGAGGGTTACTTATGAGGATCCACATGATATTGAGACCTATATGGTGAACTGTTATCAGAACCTATATCGGGAACAGTTTGAGTGGAGGCCAGAGTTGGAGGGATTGGAGTTTTCTACTATTACGGAGGAGGATGTCGGTTGGTTAGAGAGACTATTTGGGGATGATGAAATTAAGGAGGTCGTGTTTAGTATGAATGATGATAAGGTTCCAGGACCAGACGGTTTCTCGTTATCATTTTATAAGGCGTGTTGGAAGGTGGTGCAACAGTATATTATTGATGTTTTCACTTACTTTTTTGAGCGTGACAGGTTTCTGAGAAGTTCTAATGCAATATTTATTGTGCTGATCCCTAAGAAACCGGGAGCGACTGATGTTAAGGATTTTCACCCTATTAGCCGGTCAGTGGGATGTACAAGATTACTGCAAAAATTTTGGCAAATAGACTCAAGGAGGTGCTAGGGAAAGTGGTGTCGAAGTTTCAGAATGCTTTCGTGAAAGGTCGTCAAATTTTGGATTCTGTACTAATAGCGAATGAATGCATTGACTCAAGACTGTGTCTAGGGGTCCTAGGGATGCTATGCAAGCTCGATATTCAGAAGACTTATAATCACGTGAACTGGAGGTTCCTTTTGTATATGCTTAGGAGATATAGATTTGAGGATAAGTGGTGTAAGTGGATTCAGTTTTGTATCTCTATTGTTTCATTTTCAATTTTGATCAACGATACTCCCGAGAGTTACTTTCGGAGTAGCAGAGGGTTGAGGTAAAGGGATCAATTCTCTTCATTATTGTTTGTTATTGTAATGCTCTCAGTAAGATGCTTGAGAAAGCGATGCGGGAGAATCTGCTTACGGGATTTATGGTTGGTCAACTACAGGTGTCCCACTGTTATTTGCAGATGACACACTGATTTTTTGTAACGCNGACACACTGATTTTTTGTGACGCAGTTGAGGAGCAAGTCAGGAATTTACGTAGGTTGCGCTTATGCTTTGAAGCGGTGTCAGGATTGAAGGTCAATATGGAAAAATCTGAGGTTATTCCAGTATGGGAGGTCACTAATGTGGAGGAACTAGCTATTATATTGGGTTGTAGGGTTACGCAGTTACCTATGTTATATCTCGGACTTCCTTTAGGGGCGCAGTTTAAAAGTATTAATATTTGGAATACTATTATGGAGAAGGTGGAAAGGAGGTTAGCGGGATGAAGCGTATGTATCTCTTATAGGAATTCAAAGGGAGTTTCTTTGGGCATGGGTGGGAGAAGAGAGGAAACTCCATTTGGTCAAGTGGAGTGTGGTATGTTCTCCTGT